AAAGAACTGGGAACCAGGCACCACTTCTTAAAAAAAAAAGAAAAGGGAACCAGGCAGTACATAAAAAAAATAAAATGGGTTGATGGATTGATGAATTGATCAATTATATATCAACCAATCAATCAATCAAAGTCAATTGATCAATAGATCAATTATTCAATCAATTAGCTAATCAGTCAGTCAATCAATCAATCAATCAATCAGTCAGTCAATCAATCAATTAATCAATCAATCAGTCAGTCAGTCAGTTAGTCAATCAATCAATCAATCAATCAATCATTTCTATCGATCAATCGATCAATTAGTGAATATAAATTGATCAATCAATTAATTATTGTCAATTAGCCAATGAATCAATGAATCAGTCAATTTATCAAACAATTAAGCAATCAATTGGTCAATAGTTTATTCAATCAGCAAACCAATCCAATCAATCGATGCCCGTTGGTCAATCAATCAATCAATCAATCAATCAATCAATCAATCAATCGACATGAATCAATCCATCACCAAACTGATCAAGCAATCAGTTTATCAATCGTTCAATCACTCAGTAAACCAATCCAATCAATCCATGTCGGTTTTTATCAATCAATCAATCAGTCGAGATGTCTGTAATCAGTTCCTTGACGATGCATTTGTGTGTTTTAAAAAGAAACTCTTAACTCTCTCTCTCTCTCTCTCATTCCATCCACAAATCATCACAAACCATCCATAAAACAAAAAAAAAGGGATAGATGGGTAGTATAGTAGAAGATGGAAGGCTGGCTAAGTTTGTGTGGTTAAGCGCCACGTGCCCACACACCGGTCTGCCGTCAAAGCCACACACTTGCACAAGTTATATATACTTATAGGGTTCAGCCTCCTGACGAGTCGGTGAAACGTCGAGGAAACATCGACGAAACATCGACGAAACATCGACATCGACGAAACAGTTTGTCACAGACCCTCCCTCGTTTGTTGACGTCTTCTCCCTCCCTCTCTGCCTACGGTTTACCGCGCAGCTCTGTTTGACGATATGTAATCGCCAAATATATGTATATATAATATTTTATATATACCATAATATATCGTCAAACAGAGCTGGCCAGTAAACCATAGGCAGAGAGGGAGGGAGAAGACGTCAACAAACGAGGGGCTGTGGCAAACTGTTTCGTTCATGTTTCACCGACTGACTGATCCGGAGGAGGCTGAACCCTCAAAAACAGCCTGCAGAATCCCCTAACTGATTACACTGTAAGTGATAATCCACCTTAACCCCGGCTGTGGTTAATCATCAACGACTGCCCTACAACTGATACCCCTCCAAGGAGGTGGTGGGGACCACCAACCTCTGCCCTTAAGAGTACCTGTCACCAAAATCGAAGCAGACTACTGTATCACTCACCCACACCAGATCGAAAACTCTACAGACTGTCGGCTCACCACACACAAATGGTTAACAGGTACCCCCACTTTTCACCCCTAGGGTAACCTTCACAACCCATCACAAGCCAGCGAAACACCCACGAAACAAAGAAAGGTCTGTGACAGCCAAAAAATGCACTCCAGACACGCCACTCGCAGATGTATATTATCTATATGGTATATAGTATATAGCCATCAAAGGATGGAGAGCAAAAGGCAACGTACTTAACGAACTGCAATTCTAGACCAGAAAACACAAAGATTTGTTTGTACCTTAACAGAGGAGGCCCCACCAACAATAAGAAAGCACTGACCACGTTCGCCACATTGGTCTGAAAAAGAACTTGGACAGCCCTCTGAATTTGGTCCACAAAACCGCAAAAAATCATTGCACAAGTAAACAACAGTGAGTCATAGAGCACACTCACGCTAGGCCCTGAAATTTGGAGACTCCCAAAATGAGCGGCCAGATGTTTTCTTTCACCTCACCGAGTGTAGTACTTGGGGTGATATGAGCACTTCCTTAGTTTGTACTACGGTACTAGTACCCTATCGCATGTGGCTTCAATCCCTATTGGTGGGGAGCAACACCTGCTGGAAAACAGCCAGCACATCATTACTCTGCTGGATATCTGTGTTGTTTGTGTTTCTGCAAGTTCTCCACTCAACTAACTCTGGTTCTGAACTCTCACACTTCTGTTTATCTCCTGGTTATCTCACAGCAGTGAACTCTCAGACTGCCTCCTTGGTCATCTCACAGCAGTCCCTGGCGTGTCGCTGCAGGTGGGGGTTGCAGGTGGAGGACGCCGACGTCGTACTAGACGTGGCAGGTGGAGAGATCTGTCTGCAAGTTCTCACTCACTGACATTGTCAAGTGTTGAGATCGGCGGGACCTATTAGGCGATTGCGATCTTCGGAGGTACAAGATGGCGACAGGTAGCCATCGACTGATATTGCACTTTCTAGTCTGCTCCTGCTTGCTGTTAATCTGGTCTCAGCGGCCGTCATCCTTTGCCTCCGCCTCAGGAAGGCACCTAAGATTCTCTTATTCTGCATTGAATAGAAAAGGAAACAATGACCGACGGTCGATGCAAGAGGATGCGATGTCGGAGCTCCGGGAGCTTGTCAGGGATTACCTGTTCCGTACAGACAAACACCGCAGTCAGCAGGCGGAGATGCCGAGGAAGCGTTCCGCAACTTCCGCCGGCCGGCGCTTGGCTACTCCAGCCGGTCAAGGCACTGGAACCGATGAAAACGCAAAGTGTTCTGTGAATTTCAAGAGCCTGAACTTCTCCACCCTGCGAGATACATGTCCTCCTACCCAGACGACAGATGGTCGATGCTGCATACCTCTGGGACAGGTGATCAGCGGCTTGCATCTTGATCTGTCGATGTTGTCTGACAAGTGCATAAATGAGTTCTTCCTGGCCATGAGCGACGAGGGGTTCGATCCCAACCGTCTGCTAGGCCTCTGCATGCCTCATCTGGCTCCGCTGGTGCGGACAGGAAAGCCATTCCCTACTTTCCCTAGACTTCCCGGAGCCTCGGTGACTGAGGTCATCGGTATACTCCGCAAAACTGCCACAACCGCCTACACCAAACTAGAAAATGCAGCTCCAGGGTCCTTAGAGATCGCAGGAGGGAGTGAGGGTGGTCCTGATGTGGTCGATATTCTTCAAAAAAATGCCAAGAAGGTGTACACTGCACTGGGAAGCACAGCTCTAGCATCGTCGTCATTAAACATCGAAGGAGGGAGTCAGAGTGGCTCATCAGATGTGGCGGTCTCCTCCGAGTCCGGACTACAAGGCGATGCGGAGGAGAGCTCCTTGCAACAAGGGCTTCTCTCAAGTCAAGCCCCCCCCTCTATCGGATCTCATGGGGGGTCCGAGCCGTCCCAACCAGCCCCTCTTAGCTCAAGCGATGATGAAGCGGCGGCCGCATCCAGTCTCTCCGAGGAGGACTCGCAAGCAACCTTGCAGAGTGATGCTGGCAACAATGTAGCTTCATCGGGATCGGGATCGAGCCACTCGGTCCAAGGAACCCCTTCAAGCGAAGCACCCCTCGCGGAATCCGAAGACGGCGAGTATGATCCCTCAGAAGCGCTCCCTAGCAGCTCAAGTGATCAAGCGGACCCATCGATTGTGGACCAATACGAGCTGCAAGGGTCCTTAGCGAGTGGGTCGGGTGCCCTGCATGCGCCTTCATCCCAGTCCGGACAACATGGAAGCAGCGAGAACGCCGAGAAGAAGTCAACCGAAGGGGGAGTCCCCGCAAGTGAAGCGCGCCCCCTCTTGGGATCTGACAGTGATGCGTCTGACAAGTCGACACCCCTTCCCAAATCGAGTGGTGAATCTGCCCCATCCAGTTCTACTTCATCTGCATCTGGACAGAAATCCAGTCCTCCTTCGTCTGCATCGGGACAACACGGGGACAGCGCGGAGAAGTCAAGTTGAACCAAAGAGGGAGCCCCTGCAAGCGAAGCCCCGCCGTGGGATCTGGTGATGATCAGTAATTCTGGCAAGTCGGAACCCCTCCCGCCCCTCCCGGGCCTCCCCAAATCAAATGATAAAGCTGCCGCCGCCATTATAGCGAGTCATACTTAGTCAGGCTCAAAAGAATCTTCCTCTCAGACTGTGTCTGGAAAAACAAGGGGATGCGAAGGGGAACTGGAGCAAAGGAAGACCTGCAAGCCAAGCCCACATCTCAGGATCTCCTGGTGTGTCCGCCCCGTGAGAATCACCCTAAGCTTCCCTAGCTCAGGTGATCAAGCCTCCCCTTGAAGTCTGTAGCTTTAGGCTCCCCCCCCCCCGGCTCTCTCTCATTTGTCCTCCAGTTTGTCTCTGGCTTTGTCTCTACTTCTCTCCACATCTGTCGCATCATCTTTTCCTCTGCCCAAGAAATCCCTCCCTCTCTCTCTTCTCCCTGTCTTTCTCTTTCTGTGTGTGTGTGTGTTGTGTGTGTGTGTGTGTGTGTGTGTGTGTGTGTGTGTGTGTGTGTGTGTGTGTGTGTGTGTGTG